GTTCAATGTGTACTATCACCGCGTGAATTTGTACATGCAAGAGACCCTCAATCCCAATGGACCCGGTTGGCCGCTCATTATTTGCCAACTTGCTCATTCACGCCTCTGTACACGCGACACGTCGATTTATCGGGCGACCAACATTTCGATTCGCATCGTTTTCGCGAAAGCGGTCCTCGATTTATTTATCTTAGGGTGGAGTTTACACCGATCGAGGGGATGGTTTATCATTCTCGCGCGGCGTCGCATCCCGTTGCGCTGGCGTCGATATGTATAGAAGGCGGTTTCACAATACCGAACGTGAGTTGCATTTTTCTCTTTAAAGCTTAAAAATTAAAAAGTAGAATTTTTCTACAAATGATATAAGTTTGCCACCTGCGATAACTAATACGGTAAGAAAATACTTATTTAGACAATTTTTTTAAAAACATTGGAAAAACTTGCAATATATTGCAAAAAAACATTTCAATTTTTTTTTTATTACTTTGACATGTATTGCAAAACAATTTTAAGCTAAACTTACGCTTTTTCGTTCTACAAATAATATCTTGTAAATTTACATAGTAAAAGAATATTCAAAATTCATTGATTTTCATTGATCATTCAAGGAAACGCAATGGGCAAGATGCCTGTTTTCTTTATGCAAAATTCCAATTGGCAAAATCTCAACGGGCGCGATTCGCATTAAACGTTCTAAAATCGCGAAAAGTCTGTCGCGAATTCACGGAACGCAGTTTCTACATTTAGTGCGAACCTCAGTGGAGCGCCCCGTATAGGGGGAATCGTGCCAGGCTGATGCCGCCGGTGCCAGGGCGCAATTGGAGAGCAATCGACTGAACGACACGCCGCAAATCAAACCGTACTCGCGCGCAGCTCCGTCCTCGTCGAGCTGCGCCACGTCCCCTTCGCCACGTCCCCTTCGCTCGGGACGGTGTCCGCATTTCACCCTTTCGGATGCGCCTCCGTTGTGTCCTCTCAATTTGAGTCGACGTTTCTCCGATGCGCCGGAGCGATTCGGGCAGCTGCTGCGACCAATGCATCACCTCGACGGGAACGTTTCGTGCGTCGCACGCGCCGCTACTGTTAATTGCATCGATTGTTTTCGGGCCGCCAATCGTTCGGCGGGGAGTCATTGGATAAGCCAAAGAGGATTAAACAGAAGAGAAGTTACGCGGCGACAATGTGCCACACCGTAGATTTACGGGTGCTCCGTAGTGGAAATGAATGAGTCATTCGATAGCGGTGTTTTTTAACTGGCGATCGGTGGAGCAATAGTGAAACTTTTATTAAAAAGATTCTTTTTTCACAAATCTACAATTACGCTAACGGAGACAAATTTTAATTGATTTCTTAAAATACTTAACATATGATTATATGTTTTTTAATAACGTTTACATTTAAAATTTTATTAATTATTTTATTACTATAATATTATCAGGATATATATTAAAGAGCATAAAGGAAATTGTAGGAATAATATCTAAATTTGATTTGAATTTTCATGAAATAAATTGATCGATCGCTTCATTGAGAAACTTTTTCTTTTAAAAATTAATCGATATATATTTCTTAGACTAAATTATTCATTCGCACCTTCTGACTTATCTTTAACATTAATGCATTATAATAATATCTATGTAATAGCTCAATTAAATGCTTAATTTATGTCGGTTAGTTGGAATTCGCGTAAGCTCATATTACGCATCCGATTGCCGTTACATCGGTTTTGTTAATCGGCAGAATTAGCCGACGCTTCTCCTTTGTATGCAAGTTCGAAACGTCCAATTATTTCCGCGTAACGTCGCGTTCCTGATACGCGTATCCCGCACGTTGCATATCCCGTTATTGCTGATCGAATCGATCGGTTTTAATTTCGCGGTTACCGCATCAGTATCGTAAATCAGGCCGATTGCGATGCGCACTGTCGACACAATGCCGCGCACCTTGACCCTTGTTAAATCACACGATTCCTAATCCAAACGTCGTTTCCCGCGTTTCTAATTTTAAAATCATGAAGCTCAGCACTATTCGATCAATTACGGCTTTCAATTTCCTCTTTACATTATGATTGACGAATGTCAGCGACAGATTACGTGTCGAAGCCACTTAAGTCGTGATTCATCGTTAACTATACATCGATATAATTAAAAAAAGAAGAAAATATTTATTCTTCGGTAAAGCAACTACTGTTGGCAGCGTATATTCGTTTGCAAAATGCATACTGTTAATCTCATTGCACAATTACGTCGCAAATATCCGCCACGGTAAACATCAGTTTTCGGACCGTGCGAGCGCAGGGGATTAAACCAGTTCGGCCGGTGTTTGGTGCCGAACTCGTCGATGATTTCCGCGCGTGTACACGCCGGATTGGCTTACTATTTGCGGCGCATCGGCCAATGCGCCGCGCCATTATCGCCGTTAATTGAAACGATCGTTTGCAGATCCGCGGTCGATCCCCGGTCGGGGATCCAGCCCATCTCCGCTTTTCTCTCTTCCCCCTTTGTTCCCTAGGTCGCACGCGCGCGTGTGTCGCGCGTACGCAGGTGCACACGATCGGCATTTCGGCATTTTCGCTACCGCACTTCGGTTAATCGATGATCTCGATGAAGCGCGCGCCAGCGCGCTCATCTCCGCTCTCTCTCTCCCGTGGCTACCAATGCTCGTGACAAAAAAGCATCGGAAAAGCGCTGTATCGAGTGAACTACAAGCTACGTAACAAACATTAACACAGCGTGTGCGATAACGTTTGGAGAAAAACTCGATTTCACGTGAATGTGATCCTTCGATCCTTTTTCAGCTGTGTTACCAGAGCACAGGTCATTTTCGCTTTGTTTATATTCGAATCCGACACGATGATTTTGATTATTTGTTATAATGTAATTGTTAGCGCGCCACATTTTCAATGAATTTACTGTTTATCGATTTCGATATCGATAAATTCGTGATTAAAATATATTTCGACAATTCTGGGATTTATTAGCAATACCAGTAGCCTAGCCGAAACTATATTGGACAATTCGCGCAAACAATGCGCCAATATTTCTCGTTTTTACCAATTTATTGAAAAGTCCGAATATAACGTTTCTGCCCGATATTTTTAATCGAATAAATTTCAACTGCAAAAAAATTCCCGGCATGCGTATTTTAGTACACCTGCGATCTCGAGGATCGTGCCGCAGTTACTGCCTCTATAGCAATCTCGCCCTTAACTCGTGCCGTGCTCGGCGCGAAACGCTTACTCCGCAAGTACAAATTGACTTTTTTTTTCTCCCCGCGGGACGTGCCTGATTGCTGAAAATGCAAAATAAACGGTAGCGCGGCTATCCCGCCGACCTCAATCCGGCCCATCCTTTTTTTCGAGACACGCGCACGATAAAAAGAGAAATTCTCTTTGTTCGTGGATTCATTCCGCCGGAAACTTAATTTTCTCGCGTTTCCTCCTCGGAGCGGTTACTCCACCTTGCGTCCGTCGTTACGCCTAAAGAAACAAAGCGTTATCGTCGATAAAGAGGTCAATATCGACTTTTTATCGGGGAATTGGCGATAATGTTTTCGTTGCATGGCGGTCCATTAAGCTCGCCCTGTCTGAATCTTGAAAATGCAATAGCAACGATCAACGCGGCGTGAGGATAAATTAATCGTGACGTTGATCGTTATTTATGAGTATTTCTGCTTGGGAAAACGCGGCGGTCGGCTTACTCGTCGGATATGTTTCCGCGCTATGAATATAAGCATTACTCCCTTGACGGTTAAAACGAGTCGGACGTCGTAATATTGTTGATACGGTCCCTTTTTTAATTTTGTTTTAATATCCGCATTCTTAACACCTTGCTCACGAAAATTTTTCATGAAGATTTATGAGATTTACGTAACTTAGATCACTTTGAACATTTCATTTTCGCGTACGCTCTTGAAATGAAATTCGATTAACGACTATAATACATTGTACTCTTTACGAGTTATTAATTGGTTGGACAGTGTTAATTTCAGATTATTCTATTTGATCATAAATTAGTACATGTTTTATATATATATATATCATCAAGTTTACGCTAAAAAGAATTTATTTTATACGAATTGAAATAGATATTTAAAATGATAGAAAGTAAGCACTTTGCATAAGACTTACACAGTCATTTAAACAGTCCCATTTTCCGTCTGACGCGGCAGCTATGATATTTTTGCATAGCAAACAAACGAAGTCGACCGTAAAGAGGTTGAAACGATTTCAAGTGGAGCGCAAACGTAAATGGCCCACTATACTGCCCCGATAGTCCTTAAAGATAAAATACGATGCGAATGACTATCATGCACGTTGTGTGAGAAAGCAAACGCCGTGCAAGATGCGCATGCACAAATACGGACGGCATGCATCAGTGATCATTTGCAGTTTAAACACGACGGATATTTCCGAAACCATCCGTTCCGTGAGTAATGCAACAATGATACAACAATGATACAAGACACACACAACTGTTGCAATATCGAAGAAAAATATCAGCAGCATGTTCAATATTATTCATATTTGGAAGATCAATAATTTTGTTGTCTTTGAAAATGTAACCGACTACATCGCCATTATACGTATACATTGTTCTGTCTATATTTAGCATTTTATTGCATTGCCATTTTATTTTCGGAGAATATTTAGTGATACGAAATTATATTCCGCATTAGATATTTATTAAATACTTCTCGTCATTAATTTCAAAAACTCTAAACGATTAATAAGCCTTTTTATCGGACGAGAATTCATTTTAATTTCTGTCTACTTTAATGATTCAGTAAACGTCATTTGCAATTGTTTAATTTTATATGAAATTACGCGTTTAGAGAAACTCAAAGTATCTTACCTCGTAATATGCGGAATACATTATGTGAACAAACATTATTCCTCGTTCTCTTATCCATTAAGCGGATTATATCTCTCTAAGTAGCATAAATTACCTCCGTAAATAAGACAGTCGCCTCAGGTATGCATCGCTCCTGTTTCAGATGTTTTGAGCAGCACCGCACGGAAAGATGAAGACTGCGGTCGGCTCGCTTCTTCTTTTACTCGTCGGCGGTGTCGTCTCTGTCGAGTGGAAGCACAGTGCTGTTCTGGACAACAATTTCTTGGTACTCTGGACGCCCGATGAGAAGGACGTTACTTTCGAGATCCAAGTGAAGACCCTCGGTTACGTCGGGCTCGGTTTCACGAAGGACGATGGCCGCGCCGGGGCTGACATGGTCATTGGATGGGTCGATAACAACGGTCAGGTCCACCTTCAGGTGAGTGCCTTTTTATAGAGTATCAGGTAATATCTGATTTCTTGCGGTCGCCAGCAAATCTCCTGCAGCCATCTCGTTCGATCACGTTAAAATATACATGTGCACTCGCGCGTCACAAGTACGAATAAATATATATTTATGGATTTGGAAAAGGACGACCCACATTGAATATATTTGAGAAAAAAGCAATCTGATCTCTATAAACGCCAACATTTTCCGTAACTTTTTGAAAATTTCAATAAAGCAACGAAAAGTAATTTTCTAATAAATTAAAGATATATTTGAAATATATAAAAAAGTATAATTTAATTCATAAATTTACATTGTTGAAAATTAATAAATTAATAAATTTGAAGTTTTGTAACTAGGCCACCGATATAAATTTTATAACTATTATTGAAAAGAAATGTTAGTGTATATTTCCTGTACTGTTGATTCCTGTCATTTCGGACGCACAGAAAGCTCTGCACAGAAAGCTGCAAATGGAAATGGTTATCGCGTAGAGCATTCACATTAAAGCTCACTGATATTTAAATTAACCACACCGACATCCCGCTTATGTACGCAAAGTGCCGGAGGGAGAAAGGGGAGAGCGAGAGAGAGAGAGAGAGAGAGAGAGGAGGGGTGAGAGTAATCGAGAATAATTATTTCCGTGCTACTGATCGAGTGGAATTCCCTCTTTGAATATTGTAAAGTCCGCCCTGGCACGCCAACATCGGCGATGGAACGCGCTTAATGGTAGTCATTCGGGAGATAAGTAATGGCTCTCCCGTTTCGATCGGCGCATCGGATAGTTATCAATCATGCCTACTAAAGCCGGCAGCCTGTCATTACGCGTTCTCCTCATTTTGCACATGACACTCGGTACATCGAGGACTTGCCCACGGAGGCGATTGCCTTATGTAATTTTTCCGCGAAAATGCGGCTTTCGCGTATAACCTACTTATCATCTCAATGTTGCTCATCTTTATTGCGACGAGGAAAGTGTGTAACTATATAAAGCAAACAGCTAATTAGACTACATCAGTTTTTTTTTCCTCCTCTTTCTCAATTTCTCAACAAGTGAATTATTTAACAAATATTTAATCACATAGAACACGTTCAATTTTTAATCATTATCGAGTCTTGAAGAAATCGTAATCTTCCGAAGAATTAAAAAATCCAATGTTACGAGGAAGTTAATAGCTAATCATTTTTTTATTTGACGGCGATCTCGCTCTCTCGAGATAAGATCGGTGTAGATGGCATAATCTGTATCATCTTCTGTTTTCCTTCCAATAAAAGGAAATCGCGTAACTTTGATTTCGCAATTTAATTTCGCGATGGCGAAGTCGAGGTCGGCAAACTTCCCCCGGATACATCATGAGCTGTCCGCACTGCGGCTGGATCCAGCGCCGCCGTAATAGTTCGTAGTTAATACCGCGTGCATGTGCTATGTGAGTGCCGGCGGTGATGGTTCTTTGAATAACAAGGCGTCATTCAAAGGAACGCCGACGCACTCTGCGTGGTACGCCAAAGAAAGAAAAGCTTTTTCGGACGGGGCGTAATCTAGTTCGCGCGATTTCCACGTGAACAGCCACAAAAATTCTGTGCTACGGCGTTATTCTCGAGCGTTTCTTTTTTTTTTTTTAAATTTAAAATGTCGTTAGTCGCGTATCTGAGGACGCAGTCCCTCTTCGAAAACCGGACGCGACGGGGATTACACGCTATCCACCCTTTTCATCAGCGTTACGTGGTCGTTGACAGTTTCTGGCCCGGCTCTTTGCTGTATGACCGAGGGGATAGGTGCGTCGCTTCTTCTTCATCTTGCTTTTTTGTTTTTTTTTGTCGTATCTCTTTCGTGTAACGAGCGGACTGAATCAACTGAGAAAGGGAAGAGTGCCGCTCGTCGCGTCGCACAAGCTTTTTTACCGTATTTTTGCTGTGAAACATTCATTTCACTTCGCCATTATTCCCCAGTTATCCCGCATAGATTTATCAACGGCTACTTTGCGCTTGGCTTTTCGTTGCATGTTAGGCGTCAAAGGAACACCACAAATGCTCTTTCTGTCCGTTTTTATTTCGACGCGAGCGTGTAATGCCATGACGTTATTAAATTTCTCAGCAGGATTATAACGCGTTATACCAGATAGATTTTTATGAAGTCAAAGAATATTGTGACAAAGCTGCTTAAATGGACATACAAAAGAAACATGATGATCTTATGCTTTTATTATTATTTTGGTAATAATAACAACACACTCTAATATGGATTGCTACATAAATAGAAAAGATAAATAATAATATAACAAATTAAATAATTTTATTTTTCTAAAAATAATGATGTAGATCGATATAAGAAATTAATAATGCCTTATAAAAGTTTTATTTCATTTTAATTTTCTAACAATTGCTATAAAAGATATTTGACTAATAGAACAGTTGGATGACTATATATATATATATATATATATATATATATATATATATATATTATATATATATATATATATATATATATATATATATATATATATATAT